CCAGAGCCCAGCAGGTTGAGGCTGCGGTGGCCGGGAGCAGCCACTGCCCTCCAGTCTGGGTGACAGTGAGACTCCAACTCAAACAAACAACAAAAAAAAAAAGGTGGAAACAATACCTGAGTTGGGGGAGGCAGCCTACTCTGTGGACTTCTCAGGACTCCTGCCACAGATACCGAATGGGGACTCGGGTTGAACCAACAAATCTTTGCACTAGTGGATCCGTGCCTGAGAGGCCAGGCTTGCTTTGTGATGCATCCCAGGGCATGTGTAAGTGAAACTCCACATCCTTAAGTCCTGCACCCAAGTGGCCTTGTTTGGTACCAAGTGACCCCAGCCTCAGCTGCCTGGACCAAAGGGACCAGCTGGTCAGACTTACCCTTTGTGAAATGTGAAATAAAATACAGTGGGAGTTGCTAAACCACAAGATGGCAAATACTGAAAGTGTCCCCAACCCCGAGGTCAGCCGGGCAGCCAAGGTAGCCCCAAGAAAGCTGAAACTGTGGGAGGAAGCTCTCGAGATCCCACTCTCTTGAGACATAAATGCACCACAGTTCCTGCCCTCGGGTTTCCATGATCCGGCTCCAGTGGGTTTCTCTGTTTCTGGTATTCAAAGAGCCGGAGGCAAGGCCCCCTGTCCCCACTCCTGTGGCCCAGGTTACTGGTATTCAAACTGTAACGTGCATGTGACTCTCCCAGGAACTGTCAACATGCAGACTATCAGTGGTAGTGGGGCCTGAGGCTCTGCATTGCTCTCTTTTTTTTCTTTTTTCTTTTGAGTCAGAGTCTCACTCTGTCACCCAGGCTGGAGTGCAGTGGCACGCTCATGGCCATCGCAGCTGGATTCTGGCGACCCTTCTGCTTCAGCCTTCCAAGTAGCAGGAACTACAGGCGCATGCCACCACGCCCAGCTATTTTGTTGTTGTTGTTGTTGATATATTGTAGAGAGGAAGTATTGCCATGTTGCCCAGGCTGGTCTCGAGCTCCTGGACTCAGGCAATCCTTTCACCTCTGCCTCCGCCTCCTAAAGTGCTGGGATTACAGGCGTGAGCCACCGTGTCCAGCAAGACTGCATTTCTAAATAAGATTCCAGGCGATGCTGCAGCGGCTGCTGCTGGCCTCTGGGCCACAGTTAGGGTAGCCAAGGTATAGATCCTCACTTGCAGACCTACTCAGCTCGAACCTTTGTTTTTGTGAAGACATCTGGAGATTCTTACCTCCCCACATCAGCCCCTGATGGAGCCATGGATGATCTGGTGAGGGAATTCAGAGAGCTAATCCTATGCACCTGTTATTAGCACATATTAACTACCCAGCAAGAGGCGCTTTCATAGACGCTATCTTGCTGTGCAGGAAGAAAGGTAGATCACATGATTCATACACACACATTTACTGAGCACCTACTCTGTGCCTGGAGAATGTGTCAAGTGGGTGTCAAGTGCTTGGGATGCAAAAATGCAAGACTGAGTGCTCCCTGGGGAGTGGATCGGAAATACAGGCATGTCAATAAGCCAAGACAGGGAGAGATATTCAAGTCAGAGCTGGGAGCCAAAGGCAGTTAGTTGCTTCCCAGGGAGGCAGCACAGAGCTGTACCCTGAAGGTTGAGAGGCAGTTGGCTGCCAGACAGGGCAGGGCGGGGGGTCGCAGGGAGCAGAACTGTGGGCAAAGGAGACAGCCAGTACACTGGTGTGCGCTTTGGCAGAAGAGGGCAGCTGTGACAGAAAAGAGGCCAGAAGGTAGTCTTGGGTTAAATTAGAAAGGATCTGGAAAAGCCTTCCTAACCTCAAGGAGCTTGGGCTTTAACCAGAAGGTGAGAGGAAGCCACAGAAATATTTTAAACAAGTGAGTGCCAAGATCCTCTCGAGATTTTTGGAAAAAAAACAACAACAACACTTCTGGCATCAATCAGAATAGACTGGGAGTTTAACAAAAGAGAAGGCTGCCATGGTGCCCTCCAGACTGGAGGTGACATGCTGAGACCTGGCTGGTGTCTGGGAGGAAACTGGTCTCCCTCCCGGCCCCTTGCGGTGTTATCACTGACTCAAGATGCCATTTCATGGAAACCACATGGTGGGATTCTTTCCATGACTCTGATCCCAGAGAAAGGACCCAGTGGATCCTGGCAACAGCAGCAGTGGGAGCTTCAGGGTCTTCGGCACGATTATTAAGAAAATAGGCCGGGCCTGATGGCTCATGCCTGTAATCCTAGCACTTTGGGAGGCTAAGGTGGGGGGGAATCACTTGAGGCCAGGAGTTTGAGACCTGCCTGGGCAATATAGTGAGATCCCCATCTCTATCAAAAATTTTAAAACTAGCCAGGTGTGATGATGGTGCGTGCCTGTAGTCCCAGCTACTCAGGAGGCTGAGGTGGGAGGATCACCTGAGCTCAAGAGTTTGAAGTTACAGTGAGCTATGATCGTGCCACTGCACTCCTGCCTGCGTATCTATAAAAACATAATAAGGCTGGGCGTGGTGGCTCACGCCTATAATCCCAGCCCTTTGGGAGGCTGAGGTGACAAGACTGCCTGAGCCCACGGGTTCGAGACCAGCCTAGGCAATCTGGCGAGCCCTCACCTCTACAATAAATCAAAAAAATTAGCCAGGCGTGGTGGCTTGCACCTGTAGTTCCAGCTATTTGGAAGGCTGTCAAGGAAGGATCGCCTGAGCCCAGCAGGTCGAGACTGCGGTGGTCGTGGGTGTGCCACTTGCACTCTAGCCTGGGCGACAGAGTGCGACTCTGACATTAAAAAAAACATAAAAAATAAATAAATAAAATAAATAAAAACAACATAAAATAAATTAAAAAGAAAATCACATTTCCTTTTAAAAAGAAAAATCCTCCCAAGGAGGGAGATTCCTTTTGACAAATCATCAGCGGTAGGTGATCCTCCACAACCTCTGAGGACACAGAGGGTTCCCTTCTCCTGAGCCACAGCAGGGGCTTGTGCTTTCACCCCTCCCCCACCTCCCAGTGTGTGTCTCCCAAAGGTGCGCAGTGGCTGACTATGTTGGTTCCTGAAGAACCAGAGTCTCCAGGGGGAGAGGAAACCACGCGTTGAGGAAACACTCCAGGTGAATCTTCAGTTCGGGCATGTCCTAGCATAAGACCCTGGGCCCCATCAGCCAGCCCTGGGCTTACCTCACGGCTCCCGGGCTCACCCCCAAGGCCTACGTGGTGGCAGCCTAGGAGGCTGCCTGGAGGCAGAGGCCAAGAATAGAGTCAGCTGGGCTGGTCCAGAAGGCCCAAGTGATAACAGGATTTTCAAAGGACTTGATTCTAAGTCAGAACAGCCCCTCACAGCCCCTGACCAAAGGGCTGGGAAGCAGCTAAGGCTCACACGGGTGACCACCCCCACCTCAAGTAGCTTCAGACAGATTGTTCTGAAGACTGAAATTGCACTGATGTCTGAAATTCAAGCCACAAGGGTTTGGGAGTTTTATTTGAAACTTCATCGGTTTCACTTCTTTTGTTAAATGATGATTTTCATTTTAATAGAAATGGGGTCTTGCTATGTTGTTTAGGCTGGCCTCAAACTCCTGGCCTCGAGTGATCCTTCCACCTTGGCCTCCCAAAGTGCTGGGATGACAGGCATGAGCCACCATACCCAGCCCAGTTTCACTTCTCAATCTTCTGAAGCAGCCAGGGCCAGAAAGACTCCTCTTGCCCCACAGACACAGACCATTAAAGGTCACTTCCGGGGACACACCTTGTCTGTATCTAGAGGAGGGGCCGCAACCCAGGAAGCCAGGAGGACTTAGCCCTGGTGCAGCCCGCTACACACCATGACTCAGGTGCTTCCTGCTAATGGTCCCAAATGACCTGTCAAGGATCACCATTTCCCTCATAGACCTCATGGCACTGTGGCAAGGACCACGCCAGGATTTCCAGATAGGGCTGTCTCTCTCCAAAGCTCCTGTTCCTCCAGGGTGATGCATTGCCTACCCCAAGTACCCGCCTGCCAGCAAGGGAACAAGGTTTTTCCCATCACAGAGCCCAAAGGGCTTCTCAATCTGAAGAGCCAAGCTACTTTGACCCACACGTTGCTCCAGAGGGGTCCAGAACCAACTCATCCAATCAATCCTGAGAGTTCCCCAAGCTTCAGGCTCTGCTCCTTTGAGGGCTCTGAAGCCCTGCAGGAGTTTGGTTTGAGCGCAAGGACCCTGACATAGGGGAAGCCCCTTGGTCCTTGGTGCCCTCATTTGCCCTGGTGACAGCAGCTACACCACGGAGCTCTTAGGGGAGCGTGTGCCAGAAGACACCCCTAGCACCCCATGACCACGGTAGGTGCTTGGTGAGTACCTGCTGTTTTCCCTCTGATGGCTTTTGCCCAGAGGCTGCGAATGGAAGAGTTGGATGGTAGCTCATAGATTCCCCTCTAGAGAGCTCTAGGCTGTGGTAGACAAAATAACGGACCTCCAGAGATGTCCATCCAAGCCCCTGGATCCTGTGAATAGGTTAGGGTCCATGGCAAAGGGGAGTCAAGGCTGTAGGTGGAGTTAAAATTGCTCATTCATTGATTGACTTTGAGGCTGGGAGGTTATCCTGGATTATCTGAGTATGTCTGTGTAATCAAAGAGTCCTTCCTTTTTTTTTAAGGATTCTCACTCTGTCACCCAGGCTGGAGTGCAGTGGCATGCTCATGGCCACCACAGCCTTGACCTGCTGGCCTCAGGTGATCCTTACAACTCAGCCTTCTAAGCAACTGGAACTACAGGTGCATGCCACCATGCCCAGCTAATTTTGTATGTATTTACTGTAGAGACGAGGTCTCGTCAAGTTGCCTAGGTTGGTCTCAAACACCTGGGCTTAGGCAATCCTCTCATCTCAGTCTCCCAAAGTGCTGGGATTACAGACATAAGCCACTGCACCCAGTCAGTCATATAGTCTTTCCTTCTTTCTTTTTTTTGGGGGGGTTGGAGTATCATTCTGTCATCCAGGCTGGAGAGCAGTGGCACACTCACAGCCACCCCAGCGTCAACCTACTGCGTTCCGGGGATCCTTCCACCTCAGCCTTCCAAGTAGCTGAAACTACAGGTGTGCGCTACCACGTCCAGCTAATTTTTTTAATTTATTGTAGAGACGAGGTCTCACCAAGTTGCCCAGGATGGTCTCGAACCCGCTGGCTCAGGCAATCCACTTGCCTTGGCCTCTCAAAGTGCTGGGAATACAGGCTGAGCCACCGAGCCTGGCCTATAGAGTCTTTCAATGTGGAGGAGGAGGAAGATAGAGGATCAGAGTCAGAGAGAGACTTGGAGATGCTACACCTCCAGTTTTGATGACAGAAAGGGCCATGAGCTGGGAATGCAGGGCAACTCTAGAAGCTGGAAGAGTCAAGAATACAACCAGATGTGGTAGTTCATGCCTATAATCCCAGTGCTTTGTGAGGCCTAAGCGGGAGGATCACTTGAGCCCAGGAATTTAAGACTAGCTTGGGCAACATAGCGAGACCTTGTCTCTACAAAAAGTCAAAAAATTAACTGGGCATGGTGGTACATGCCTATAGTCCCAACTACTCAGTAGGCTGATATGATAGGATACTCTGAGCCCAGCAGGTCAAGGCTGCAGTGAGCTGTGATTATTCCACTGCACTCCAGCCTGGCAACAGAATAAGACCCCAACTCAAAATAAAAGTCAAGGAAAGATTCTCCCCCCGAGCCTCCAGAAGGAATGCAGCCCTGTCAAAACCCTAATTTTAGCCCAGTGAGACCCATTTCAAACTATAAGAGAAAAAATGTGTGTTGTTTTAAGCCACTAAGTATGTGGTAATATGTTACAGCAGCAGTAGGAAACTAATACATAGGTCAACTCTCTCATTTTACAGATGGAGAGGCTAAGGCTAAACAGTTGCCCAAGATCACTGATGGGTGTCAGAGCTGGGCCTCAGACTCAGGTTTCTTTTTTCTTTTTTTTGAGTTGGAGTCTCACTTAGTCACCCAGACTGGAGTGCAGTGGCCGCTCCTGGCCACCGCAGCCTCGACCTGCTGGGCTCCGGCGATCCTTCCGCCTCAGCCTTCCAAGTAGCTGAAATTACAGGCGCGCGCTACCATGCCTGGCTAATTTTTTGATTTATTGTAGAAATGAGGTCTTGCCAAGTTGCACAGGCGGGTCTCGAACCCGTGGGCTCAGGCAATCCATTCACCTCAGCCTCCCAAAGCGCGGGATTACAGGCTGAGCCACCGAGCCCGGCTGACTCAGGTTTCTTTTTTTTTTTCTTTTTTTGAGTCGGAGTCTCACTCTGTCGTCCAGACTGTAGTGCAGTGGCCACTCCCGGCCACCATAGCCTCGACCTGCTGGACTTTGGCGATCCTTCTGCTTCAGCGTTCCAAGTAGCTGGAACTACAGGCGCATGCTACCACGCCCGGATGATTTTTTGCTTTATTGTAGAGATGAGGTCTCACCAAGTTGCCCAGGTGGGTCTCGAACCCGTGGGCTCAGGCAATCCACCCACCTCAGCCTCCCAAGACGCGGGATTACAGGCTGAGCCA